TAAAGTGAAATTGTTTTTTGCTAGCTGGAGGATTGGGAACCAGAGCTTGAACCAAAAACCTAAGGTGATTAGCACAAGCAGTTGAAACAACATAACTAACTCACTAACTTATACAACAAGTAACTAGGATTTGGAATGTCCAGCCTGATCAGGAGATGGATACTGACTTGCTCATGTCCTGCAAAAGGCTATTGAACAGATAGTTCAAAGAGGAGTCATTACAGGGCACTGGGGCAGCAGCGGAGGGAGTGGCACCAATTGGATAGTTCCATGCAGATGGGCTGAAAGGTTAGTTCGATTGCTGTAATATATAAACGTATTTGAAATAATTAATGCGTCATTTCCGATGTAGAGGATGATGTGGTCAGTGAAGTACGGGCACCGCTCGAGATCTCTGACAAGATGTACTGCTCCGCCTGTCAGTGCAACTTCGAGAACCGAGAGGATCAGGTAAGTGATGGGCTGTGTGGTTCTCTCCCACACCCCCCTCCATGGTTACACTCGTGAAGATTTTTTATTTAGGCTGGGTGGCATTGTAAGCTTTTCAGTGTACTCCTATATCTCTGTACTTCAGTACACGTGACAATAAAACCTAATTCCTAATTCTCATGGTTACACTCTGGAAAATTAGGGATGAGCAATGTATGCTGGCCCAGCCTGCATTGAGCGTCCTGTTAATTAATAAACAAAAAATTCTGAAGTCAGATTTCAGTTTCACACTTATTAATTGAGGTTAACTTCCAGTTGTATTGTGATGCTATTTGGACCCATGTACCCAGAGCATTATCCTTGGCCTCCGGATTACTGATAGCAATTTTGGTACTGTTGGTTTCACCTGCCTCAGCTAGGAGCTGGGTCCACCAGTTTGCCAAGAAGAAATAATTCAGTTGATTCAAGTCTTATGGTGTATTGGAGTATTCAATAAGGTGCAGCGAGTGTCTTTGTCAGCTGCTCAATTATCAACTTTGTTTACTTAATACAATTTCCTCTCTGCTTCTGTCCAGAAGGAGCACTACAAACTGGACTGGCACAGGTTTAACCTGAGACAAAGGCTGCTTGGGGCGCAACCAGTCACCACAGAGAGTTTTGAGAAAATAGCAGGTACCAGATTCATCACTCAAATGGGATTCCATCTGATGTTCACTGATAACCTTACCAAGAAATAGTGCAGAGACCCTTATTCTGTGTCTAACCCTGTGCTGTTCATGTCATGGGAATGTTTGATGGGGATAGTGTGGACAAAGCTTTACTCTGTATCTAACCCCATGCTGTCCCTGTCCAGGAAGTGTTTGATGGGGACAGTGCAGACGAAGCTTCACTCTGTATCTAACCTTGTTCTGTCCCTGTCCTGGGAGTGTTTGATGGGGAACAGTGCAGAGAGAGTTTTATTGTATCACACCCTCTCCAGAGCAGTGCTCCTTTGTCCAGTGCAAGACAGTGATCGCTTCAAGCCCCTGTTTATTTGTTTATTTCACTCTCTCTCAGGCGAGATCTCCAGTATTTCAGGCTCTGACTCTGAGGACTCTGACTCTGACTCTGACTCTGACGCTGAGTTGGAACAGCTGTGTTGCCACCCCATCCAGAGTGCCCTCGGTCCCACAGATGAGGTTCCTCTTGCAGAGGAGAACCGACGAGGTCGACAGAGCCTTCGCGTTCTCTTCCAGACTGCGGATGGCGAGTATCTTTCTGTATATCGCTGTGTCCTGCAGGGTAAGCAGGTAAGAAACTGCTCTTCCATCACCCTCTCCACAGTGCTTCACACCCAGTGCAGTACTGTTTAAATGTTGGAAACGGAACAACCAGTTAAAAAAAGCAAGACCCCACACTCGGCAACATGATAATGACAAGGTACTCTGTACTAGTGTTGTTTAAGGAAGAAATATCATTCCAGGGTACCAGAGATAACTCTAGTGCTGTTAGAGCATAGAAAGCTACAGGATAAGTTGTGGCCCAGGATAGGGCTTAGCATTTTAGCTTCAACTGAGCAGACAGAGAGGGCAGTTCCGAGGGGAAGCACCGAGGGGCTATATTGAGGTGGGGGGATGAGGGGGTATTTTGAGAGGGGTGGTGGACAAGGGGGTATATTGAGGGTCGAGGGGTATATTGAGAGGGGAGGTGGTATATTGAGGATGGAGGAGGTAGCAAGTGGGACTATTGAGATGGGAGGCAGGGAGGGGCTATATTGAGGAGGGAGGGGGCAAGGATAGTTTAACAGATGCAGGTTCAGGAAACTGCTGATTGGGTAAAAAAAATCACAGTGACATCACAGGGAAGTGGTGTGTAGATTGGCTCAGAAATTTAAAGTAACAAGCAACAGGAATGAGTGAATGTCAGGGCCAACACAACAAAAGAATATGAGTAAGCCCCTTGGTAAGATAGTATCATCGATAGCCACAGGTGAGGTGCCAGAAGACTGGAGGCTGGCTAACATGGTGCCACTATTTAAGAAAGGTGATAAGGAAAAGCCAGGGAACTATCAACCGGTGAGACTGACATCGATGGTGGGAAAGTTGTTGGAGAGGATCCTGAGGGACAGCATTTACAAGTGTTTAGAAAGGCAGGGACTGATTAGGGTTTGACAGCATGAATTTGTGTGTGGGAAATCATGTCTCACTAACTTGATTGAGTTTTTTTGAAGAAGTACCAAAGAAGATGAACGAGGGCAGAGCGGTAGCCGTGATCTATATAGACTTCAATAAGGTGTTCGACAAGGTTCCTCATGGTAGACTGGTTAGCGAGGTTAGATCACATGGAATACAGGGAGGACTATCCATTTGCATGCAGAACTGGCTCGAAGGTAGAAGACAGAGGGTATGGTGGAGAGTTGTTTTTCAGACTAGAGGCCTGTGACCAGCGGTGTGCCACAAGGATTGGTGCTGGGTCCACTGCTTTTTGTCATTTATACAAATGATTTGGATGTGAACATAGGAGCTACGGTTAGTAAGTTTGCAGATGACACCAAAATTGGAGGTGTAGTGGGCAGCGAAGAAGATTATCTCAGAGTACAATGGTACGTTGATCAGATGGGTCAATGGGACGAGGAGTGGCAGATGGAGTTTAATTTAGATAAATGTGAGGTGTTGTATTTTGGTAAAGCAAATCAGGGCAGCACTTATACACTTAATGGTCCTGGGGAGTGCTGCTGAACAAAGAGACCTTGGAGTGCATGTTCGTAGTTTGTTGTGAGTAGAGTCTTAGGTAGATAGGATAGTGAATGAGGAGTTTGGTATACTTGCCTTTATTAGTGCATTGAGTATAGGAGTTGTGAGGTCATGTTGCAGCTGTACAGGACATTGATTAGGCCACTTTTGGATTTTTGCTTCTATTCTGGTCTCCCTGCTATAGGAAGGATGTTGTGAAATTTGAAAAGGTTCAGAAAAGATTTACAAGGATGTTGCCAGGGTGAGAGGATTTGAGCTACAGGGAGAGGGTGAATAGGCTGGGGCTATTTTCCCTGGAGTGTTGGAGGCTGAGGGGTGACCTTATTAAGGTTTATAAAATCATGAGGGGCATGGATAGGGTGAATAGCCAAGGTCTTTTCCCTGGGATGGGGGAGTCCTAGACAGTGTAGTTTTAAGGTGAGAGGGGAAAGATTTAAAAGGGACCAAGGGGCAACTTTTTCACACAGCGTGGTGCATATATAGAATGTGCTGCCAGACGAAGTAGTAGAGGCTGGTTCAATTACAACATTTAAAAGGAATCTGGATGGGTATATGAATAGGAAGGGTTCAGATGGATATGGACCAGATTCTGGCAAATGAGACTAGATTAATTTAGGATATCTGGTCAGCATGGACGAGTTGGGTCGAAGGGTCTATTCTCATGCTGTACAGCTCTATGACTCTAAATAGGGTAAGGGAAGTAAGTTAGTGGCATATAAAAACCAAAAGAACTGCGGGCGCTATAAATCAGGAACAAAAACAAAGTTGCTGGAAAAGATCAGCAAGTCTGGCAGCATCTGTGAAGGGAAAAACAGCGTTACTGTTTCGGGTCTGGTGACGCTTTCTCAACGGTTCTGAGGAAGGGTCACCAGACCTGAAACGTTAACTGTGTTTTTTCCTTCACAGATGCTTCCAGACTTGCTGAGCTTTTCGAGCAACTTTGTTTTTGTGTAAGTTAATAATATTCTTACATAAGCATAATTTATTGTATTTTTAACTAAGTGGCTTAAAGGAAGTCACAGCAGCAGAGCTCACACCTGGAATATGCTCCTCCTGTGCTATGTCGCAAACCCTGGAAGCTTCAGTTGGCCCTGGTGTCCACATGTGCAGGAAGTGTGTCTAGCCGCAGCTCCTGGCGAACCACATTTCAGAGCTCCAGCTAAATTCAGTGTGGAGCATCCGCAATGCTGACTGTGTTATGGATAGCATGTTCAGTGAGGTGACCATAGCACAGGGGAAGACTCAAAAGGCAGAAAGGGCATATGACCACTAGCTAGAGTAGAGGAAGGCAGGCTAGTCCCCTGTGGCCAACCCCCTTTCTAACAGATAGAAAGGCTTGGATACTATTGAGGGAGATGACTGTGCCGAGAAAAACAGGGGCAACCACCTACTTTGGACCGTGGGTGGTCTTCTGCACAAGAGGGGAGGAAAAATAACAGCAGGCCTACAGATACGGAAAAGGCTTAGGGCCCTGACAACATTCTAGCGGTTGTACAGAAGACTTGTGCTCTAGAACTTGCTGCTCCCCTAGCCTAGCTGTTCCAGTACAGTTACAACACTGGTATCTACCTGACAATGTGGAAAATTGCCCAAGTATGCCCTACACATGAAAAGCAGGACAAATCCAACCTGGCCAATTACCGTCCCATCAGCCTCCTCTCGATCATCAGTAAAGTGATGGAAGGTGTCATCAATAGTGCTGTCAAGCAGCATCTGCTGAGAAAGAACCCGGTCAGTGACGCCCAATATGTCTACCAAACCACTTTTCTCTCGCTTTCTCTCTGAGCTCTTTCTCCACCCTTCCTTTTATTCCTTTCCCCTCCCCCACCCCTTCTTTAGCATATTTACCAACCTTTTTCAAGCTGCAATCAGTTCTGAGGAAGGGCCAGTGACCTGGAGTTCCAAAAACTGTCAACCCTCAGAAAGAAGCAATTCCTCTTTAGCTCAGTCTGAAATTGAAGCCTCTTAATTCTGAGACTGTGCCCTCTGTTCCCACTCTCTCCCATGAGAGGAAACATTTGCTGTGTCAAACCCCTTTAAGAATCTTATATGTTTTGATGTGGTCACCACTCATTCTTATAAATTGCAGTGAGTAGACTCCCACCCTGTTCAGCCTTCGCTCATAAGACAATCCTTCCATTCCAGGGATTCTTCATGTGAATTAGGAGCAGGAGAGTGGATATTTTCCCTTGTGGGACAATCTAATATGGGACATCATAATTTTGAGCTAAGGGTTGGAGATTTAAAATAGAGATGAGGTTGAATTACTTCTCTCAAAGGGTCGTGAATCTGTGAAACTCACTACTGCAGAGTGTGGTGGACTCCAGGACAATTGATTTAGGAGGAGATAGATTTTTAATTAGTAATGGGTTAAAGGGTTGTAGGGAATGGGCAGGAGAATGGATTTGAGCCCAAGGTGAGATCAGTCATAATCATATTGAATGGTAGAGCAGGCTCAAGGGGTTGAAGTATCTACTCCTGCTCATAGTTCTGATCTTCATGTGAGAAGGTCCTTTGATACTGCTCTGTCATTCAGTAAGAATATGATTGATCTGATTTTGGATTAAACAGGAATGTAGAGTAACCTTTCACCCGCATTGCCTGTCAAGAATTGATCCACCTCTGCCTTAAAATATTCAAAACTCTGCTTCCACTGCCTTTACAGGAAGAGTTCAAAGATTCAGAGAGAAAACATTACAACTCATCTCTGTCTTAAATGGGTGACCCCTTATTTTTAAACAGTCACCTAATGATATGGGAGCCATTGCTGAGTCACAGCTACAGGACAGTCTGAAGTAGGGACTGAGTATATCTTTTTTTGAAGATCTATGCAGAAAATCCAATAAAAATGACAGAAAAGTGGAATCAGCATAATCAATAATGATGAAATCATCCCCATGCAAAGAGGCAGTGACATGGGAGGTACGTAGGTAGTAGGGACATAACAAGTAGAATAAAAATAAGAAAGGGTTTAAACTTCCAGTAGGAGCTGTGCTCTGTCTCCTTGTTGTAACTGTAAAGTTAAAGAATGTGAAAATGGAGCATTAAGTGAGTGTGGAGTCTAGGCTGGATGGTTATGATGGGATGAAAAGGACAGGAAGGTCAAATTTGAATGCAGAATACAGGGTTAATGACAGGATTCTTGGTAGTGTGAAGAAACAGCGGGATCTTGGAGTCCACATCCATAGATCCCTCAAAGTTGCTACCCAAGTTGATAGGGTTGTAAAGAAGGTGTATGGTGTGTTGGCTTTCATTGGCAGGGAAATTGATTTAAGAGCCGTGAGGTTATGCTGCAGCTCTATTAAACCCTGGTTAGACCACACTTGGAATATTGTGTTCAGTTCTGGCCACCTCATTATAGGAAAGATGTGGAAGCTTAAGAGAGGGTGCAGAGGAGATTTACCAGGATGCTGCCTGGACTGGAGGGCAGGTCTTATGAGGAAAGGTTGAGCGAGCTAGGGCTTTTTTCATTGGAGTGAAGAAGGATGAGAGATGACTTGATAGAGGTGTACAAGATGATGATAGGCAGAGAAAGAATGGATAGCCAAAGACTTTTTCCTAGGATGGAAATGACTATCACAAGGGGGTATAATTTTAAAGTGATTGGAGGACGGTATAGGGGAGATGTCAGAGGTAGGTTCTTCACACAGAGAGTGGTGGGTGTGTGGAATGCGCTGTTGGCAGTGGTAGCGGAGTCAGATACATTAGGGACAATTAAGCGACTCTTGGATAGGCACGTGGAGGATAGTAAAATGTAGGGTATACAGGGTAGATTGATCTTAGTAGGATAATAAGTCGGCACAACATGGTGGGCCGAAGGGCCCGTACTGTGCTGTACTGTTCTATGTTCTAATTCAGAAAAGGAATGATTTTCAAAAGTGTGTCAACATTTATTAAAAACCAATCATATGATTGAGTTCAGCTGTTGAAAAGGAGAAAGATTGAGAAAAACGAAGAAAAGTCTAATCTGCTTAGCTTCTAGATTCAGCTTTGGCTGACTTTAGTGGAATGAGACAGACACTGTAAATCTGTTAAATGGTAAAACAAGGTGATCTGTGGAATGTGTTTGAAGAGTATTTGTGAGCATCCAAACAAGAGCAGAGATAGGCCCCTCGAGCTTGCTCTCCCATTCAGTAAGATGTAATGATTGGTCTGATTTTTACCTCAAATCCACATTCCTGCATACACCTGATAGCCTTTCACACCCCTCCTCAACACAATCGATTTACCTCCACCTTAACAATATTCAAGGACTCTGCTTCCACCACCTTTACAAGAAGAGAGTTCCAAAGACTCACCAGCCTCTGTGAGGAAAAAAAATGCCGAATTTATTTTAGAAATTTGATCAGAACTTTTGATTTTTCAGCAGTGACCTAGTTTGAGATTGTCCCACAAGAGGAAATGTCCTCTCCACATCAAAGAACCATACAGTACAGAAGACACCCTATCAAATCTGTACTGCCAAAAATACACTAAATGTAAACACTTTCCAGCACTAGGTCTATAGTCTTCTATGTTATGGTGCTTCAACTTCTGTCTACCCTGTCAAGACCACTCAGGATTTTATATTTTCATCAAGTTGCGCCTTACTCTTCTAAGCTCCAGTGGAAATAAGCCCAGCCAGTCCAACCTCCTCTCATAAGACAACCCTCATGTTCTGGGTATTAGTCTGGTTTACTTTCTCTGAATTGCCTCCAATGCATTTACATCTTTCTTCAGTAAGGTATACACAGATGTGGTCTCATCAGTGCCATAAGAAGTAAGACCTGGAGTAGGCCCTCAAACCTGATCTGCCATTCAGTAGGATCATGGCTGACATTTCTCACATTTACTTTCCTCCCTTTTCCTTGGTACCCTTAGCTTTAAATATACAAAAGAGCTCTGTCCCCACATTAGCAAGGAGTTCCAAAGACTCTCAAACCTCTGAGAGAAGAAATTTCTCCTCTTCTCAATCTTAAATTAGCATCCCTTTATTCTGTGACTATACCGTCTGGTCAAAGAATCTCCATGCAGGGAAACACTCTCAGCCTTTTACCCTGTCAAGCCCTTTAAGAATCTTATGTTTCAATGGGAGGACCTCTCATTCTTCTAAACTCCAATGAGTGGAGTCCCAACCTGTTTAGCCTTCGCTCATAAGACAATCCCCACCAGAGTGGGGATCATTCTCATGAACCTTCTCTGAGCTTCCTCCAATGAAATGATACCTTTTCTAAAAAAAAAAGGGAACTGAAACTGCTCACATTACTCCTGACGTGGTCTCTCCCGCACCTTATCCAGTTACAGTAAGATTTCCCTCCTCTTATACTTCAACCCTCTTGAAATAAGGGCCAACATTTCATTAGCCTTCCTGATTACCTGCCGCCCCCTGTGTGCTAGCTTTCTGTGTTTTTTGCACAAATCTCCCAAAGTCCCTTTGTTGCAGCTTCCTTTATCTTTTCTCCATTTAAAGCGTACTGTTTTTTATTCCTCTTCCAAAATGAACAACTTCACATTTTCCCACATTACATTCCATGTATCCCTTGTGTCCTGTCTGACCGAAGCATAATCTCCTTACTTCTGTATTTGGTTTCCTGTGCAATAAATGATTACATTCTATTAGCTTTCCAATTACTTGCCGTACCTGCAATCTAACCTTGTGCACATGATCGCCCAGAGCTCTCTGCATCTCAGAGCTCTGTAATCTATCACCATTTGGATAACAGTTTTCACAGCAGAGCACTTGGAAAACAGTGACAGGATCAGATAGTGTCAGAATGGATTTATGAAAGGGAATCATTTTTGACAAATTTACTGCAATTTTTCATGGGGATAAGGGGAACCAGTAGATGCAGTTTACTTGGATTTTCAGAAGGCACTCAGTAAAATCCTTCGTAAGAGATTAGCATTTAAAATAAAAACGAATGGGACTGGGATTCATGTACTAACATGGGTTTAAAAAAATGGTGTTAGATAGGAAACAAAGGAATAAACAGATCATTTTCCAAGCAGCAGTGACAGGTGTGTTACTGCAGGAGTCAGTACTTGGACCCCAGCTGGTTGGGATCATTTTATTCATTTGTGGGATTCGGGTGTCACTGCCTGACCAGTATTTATTGTTCATTCCTTGTTGCCCCTTGAGAAGGTGGGGGTGTGCTGCCTTCTTGAATCACTGCAACCCATGTGCTGTGGGTTGACCCATAGTGTCCTTAGGGAGGGAATTCCAGCGACACTGAAGGGATGGATAATAATGATATTAATTCATATTAATATCATATTCATATGATTTAGGTGATTTGAATGATTTAGATGAGGGAACTTAATGTAATATCTCCAGATTTGCAGACAACACAAAGCTGGATGGGAGTGTGAGCTGTGAGGAGGCTGCAGAGATGTTTCAGTGTGATTTGGACAGGCTGAGTAAGTGAGTAAAAGCATGGCAGATGCAGTATAATGTGGATAAATGTGAGGTTGCTCACTTTGGAAGCAAAAACAGGGAAGCAGGTTTTTGTCTGAACAGTGATTGATTGGGAAAGGGGAAGGTGCCATGCGACTTGGGTGTCCCTGTGCACCAGTCACTGAAAGTAAACATGCAGGTGCAGGAGGAGATGAAAAAGGCAAATAGTATGTTGGCCTTCACAGCGACAGGATTCAACTACAGGGGCAGGGATGTGTTGCTGCAATTATACAGGGCCTTGGTGAGACCACATCTGGAATATCAAGTGTAGATTTGGTCTTCTTACCTGAGGAATGATGTTCTGACTATGGTGGTTTACTAACTGATTCCTGGGATGGCAGGACTGAGAGAGGCTGGATCAGTTAGAATTATATTCACTGGAGTTTAGAAAAATGTGGGGAGATCTGTCAGTAAACTGTAAAATTTGAACAGAACTAGACAGGGTAAACACAAAAAGGATGTTCCCAATGACTGGGGATTCTAGAATCAGGAGTCACAGTTCAAGGGTATCATAGAATCCCTACAGTGTGAAAGCAGGTCAGTCGGCCCTTCAAATCCACACCGAGCCTCCAAAGAGCATCCCACCCAGACCTACCCCGATACCGTATCCCTGTAACCCTGCATTTCCCATGGCGAACCCAACTAGCCTACACATCCCTGGACACTGGGTAATTTCCCATAGCCAGTCCACCTACCCTGCACATCTTTGGAGTGTGGGAAGAAGCCGGAGCACCTGGAAGAAACCCATGCAGACATCGGGGAGAATGTGCAAACTCCACATAGACAGTCGTTTGAGGTTGGAATCAAACCCGGATCCCTGGTACTGTGAGGCAGAAGTGTTAACCACTGAGCCAGTGTGCCAGGACTGGCATTAGGAAAAATGTCTTCACCCAGAGAGTGGGGAGCCTGTAGAATTATCTGTCACAGAAAACATTTGAGGCCAAAATGTCAAATGTTTCCAAGAAGGAGTTGGATATAGTCATGGGGCTAAAGGGATCAAAGGGTATGGGGAGTTAGTGGTAAAAGGGAACTGAGTTGTATGATCAGCCACAGTCATATTGAATGGTGCAGCAGGTTTGAAGGGCTGAATGGCCTATCCATACTCTTATTTTCTATCTTGCTATCTGATATTTTATTTTATTCTTCCTGCAAAAATGGAGAATTTCACATTTTTCCACATTTTATTCTTTTTGTCAATCTTTTCCCACTCACCGATCAGTATTTTTTTAAGAACTGTCTAATTCCCTCTTCACACATTACTTTCCTGTCTATGCACCTATTTAATTTGACATAAACCCTATTTCCGTCCTGTTGGTTTTTCTTGCTCATACTGTTGAGTTCACTGTGTTTCATTCCTTTCCAAGTCAGCAGGTTCCAATTTTGTGTTCCACACCAGGCTCGAGCACAAATATTAAAGGTGCCACTGTCCTGAGGTGCTGAGGAAGTAGTTGGTGATGATGGAAACAGCTAATTCCTGTGTGCCTGCTGTAGCAGGGTTTCCGATATGATGTGAGCTAGATATGTATCCTTGTTTTTAGTCAAGCTGAATTGGTTAAGGATATGTCGACACTCAGGGTATGTGCAGACTGCAGTTGTTCTGTGTTGCTGTGTCATGGTGACTGAACCTTTGCCTCCATAGGCCCTCAGGGAGCATGAGAATGAGGATAGTCTCTTGTCATCACTGCTCAGCCTCAACCCTCAAACTGTCTGGGTCATTCTGATGACAGGCGGTGGACATTTTGCTGGAGCTGTATTTCGAGGGTAAGTATAGCTGGAGAACTATCTAGTTTTGGGGAAGGGTGGGGGAGGGATTACATTGGTGATTGGTTGAAGAATATAACTTCTATGAATTTTCTTTCCTGGCTGGGCATGCACAGTAATAGGGCCGACTGCCAGCTGGCCTATACGTTGGGAAAGCTCGGTGAAAACCTTGCTAATGCATGCAGCCTGTGTTATGAACAAAGAACAGTACAGCACAGAAACAGGCCTTTCAGCCCATCTAGACTGTGCAGATGCACAATGCCTTTCTAAACTGTTGGGCAGCTCTGAGGCTAATGGTTTGTCAAGGACCACAATCCCAACCTATGCCTTGGTCTGTGGACATTATGAGGAGTGTTGCAACATCTGTGATTCCACCTACATTGACAGGGCATAGCATTGCCTGTGGGAATGTGTGTTAAAGAGCGTTCCCACAGGAAAGGGAACTTTGTCATGGAATCGATGACAAACTATTTAGCTGATTCAGAAATTCAGTGTGATAAGAGACAGGTGTAGGAATAGAACATAGAACAGTAAAGCACAGGAACAGGCCCTTCGGCCCATGACGTTATGCCAAACATGATGCCAAATGAAACAAATCCGTTCTGCCTGCCCTTGGTCCATTTCCCTTCATTCCTTGCATGCTATTCTGCATATCTAAAAGTTCCTTAAATACCCCTAAAGTCTCTTAAATGCCCCTTAAAAACAGAAAATATTGGAAATGTGTAATAGCTCGAGCAGCATCCCTGGAAAAAATAATTATCCAATGTGTTTTTGAAGAAGTCATGATTAAAACTGCCTCCATCCCACTGCCAGCCAGTGTGGAGATCCTTTCCACTCAGTGCATGAAAAATGTTTCTCTTCTTGCTTCTTTTACCAAATACCTTCAATCTATGTTCTCTGGTTTTTGACATTTCCACTGGGAATAATTTCCTCTCTATCAACTCTGTCAACGGCCCTCATGATTTTGGTCACCTTTATCAAATCTCTGGGTCGAGCCTATCTTTCCCAATGAGAACGGTCTCAAAGCCTCTAATCTATGCACATCACTGAAATTCCTGATATCTGGAGTCTTTCTTGTAAATCATTTCTGCACTGTCTGTAATGACTAACACATCCTCCCTAAAGTGTGATGCACAGAAATGGATGCAGTACACTTGTGCTGAGGACTAACTAATTATGTATGACCTCTTTGCTTTTGTACTCATCCCTGGATCTGTAACCTTCCAACATCTAGTAATCCTTATTACCAACTTCTTGACCTGCCTGTACAAGGCCAGTTCTGTCTGTTCCTGTATGTCCTTCAGCAATATACTGTTCATTTTAAATTGTCTTTCTTTTGGTCTTCCTCCAAATATTTTATTTCACACTTGTCTGCAATAATTTTCATTCTCCACCCATTCCACCATCTCTATCCATGACATTTTGAAGTTTTTCACTAACCTCCTTTCAGTTCACATACTTTTGAGATCGGTTTCATTCTCAAATGTGAGAATTGTTCTCTGCACATCCAAATCCGGGGCAGCAAATTGGAGATTGAGAAATGTTTGTTCTTCAAACATGGGAAGGGATATGAGCCTAGCTGTGGGTTAGCCATGACATTTCTCGTTAGGGGAGTAAGCTTGGAACACTAAATGGCCCATCGTTTTCATCTGTGCTCTGTACCTCATCTTCTGTCCACAAAATCCTAAGGGTATTTGATGATGATAGCTTTGGGGAATCTTCACTCCAGCCCTGAACTGTTCCTGTGCTGGGAGAATCGGGTGGAGAATGTGTCAAGGGACAGTTACTCTGCATCTGATACTGTGATGTGCCAGCCCTGAGTGTCTTCACTGTAGACAGTGTAGTGAAGCTTTAATCTGTCTCTAACTGCGTGCTCTCCCTGTGCTGGGAGTGTTTGATGGGGACAGTGTAGAAAGAGCTTTACTCTGTATCTAACCCAGTGCTGTCCCTGTCCTGGGAGTGTTTGTTGGGGACAGTGTAGGGGGAGGTTATAGATTGTGCTCTATTGATTGTTTGGTTTGGTCCATCCTCAACAGGAATGAAGCTGTTCTCCACAAGACGTTTCACCGATACACTGTGAGGGCGAAGCGTGGAGTCACTCAGGGTGCAAAGGATGCGCAGAATAGAACCCGGGCACCAAAGTCTGCTGGGGCCTCGCTCAGGCGATACAATGAAGCCGCTCTCATCAAGGTCACTGGTTTGTAATCTCCCTGATCTCGATTCCCTATGTATGCAGATCACAAACCTCAAAGATTTATCTCCAGCTGATGTGGGGCAGCAATACAAAAACCATCGACTCTGATATCGTTTTTCTCAGTCAAGTTAACCCTCAGCACTTTACAGCTGGTGCTTTGTCTTTCAACTGATATAATTGTTAGAATTTAAGAAACACTATCTCTGTTTATTACAGCAAGATCCGAAAATTAACAGGACACTGTGGAGCCCTCTTTGCTTCTCTGCCAGCTGTGATCTGAGCCTTTGGCATCCACCTTGGAGGAAAAATTGGCTTAATTTCACATCTTATCCACGTTGCATCCCTTCCATACCGATCTTCCAACAGTGCGGCGCTCCCTCAGCCCTGACCCTCGGACAGTGCGGCGCTCCCTCAGCCCTGACCCTCGGACAGTGCGGCGCTCCCTCAGCCCTGACCCTCGGACAGTGCGGCACTCCCTCAGCCCTGACCCTCGGACACTTCAACACACCACCATGTTTCCCGGGCAATATCTTTCTCTCTCAGGCTTGCTGCAGTGAAACTCAGCACAAGCTGGAAGAACACCAGCTCATTTTCTGCTTGGGAATTCTATGGCTTTTTGGACTCAATTTCGAGTTCAACACCTTTAGGGCTTGAGCACCTTCCCTTATGTCCTTACCTAAACCCCCCCCACCACATACCAGGCCTTGTAATCACATGGTCTGCTATTGTACACAGCCCATTGTTAGGTACAAATAGTCCCCTATTTGTTAGCATAGTTAGCAGCTATTCATCCTCAGCTGATCGTAATCCATTCCTTTGTCTGTCCAACTGTCCTCCTCTCTCTGGGCACTATCTCCACCTATCATTTACTCCTTACTCTCTCCATCTACCCTCTCTCCTCCATATAAACCAACTTTTTCCTAGCTACCATCAGTTCTGAGGAAGGGTCACCGGACCCGAAATGTTAACTCTGATTTCCTTCACAGATGCTACCAGCCCTGCTGAGCTTTTCCAGCAACTTCTGTTTTTATTTTTAAAAATAAACAGTCTGGCTTTCTGAACAGAATCTAAATGCAAGGGAAATATACTCGAGTTTTAGGACCTTGGAGAGGGCATGGAGGAGAGAGAGTTTCTTGAATGGGTTCAGGGATGAGGGGCTTCAGTGAATTTGAAGAGACTCGAGAAGCTGGGAAGAAAATTAAAGGAATATTAAATTGGGTGTGGAAAGTGGAAAGAAAGGTTTAGGATTGAATTTGGAGAGCAGGTACAATGGGGCACGTGGAATATCTCTTAAAGGGCCAGTCCCTACCTGAATGGGCTGAATGACCTTCTGCGCTATATCCTTCTCTGGCTACATGCGGCAGCTAGAATGTAGCATTGATTCAATTCCTCATTTGGTGCTTGTTCCTTGTTTCAGGATGTTGAGGATTTGTTGCTGAGTTGGTCTGAATTTCTGCAAGCAGCCAGTGCCATCTTCCTCCGAGCTCCCAACTACAGCAAGAGTATCTTCTTCAGCGGTAAAGAGCCTGTCCTCAACCAGACTGACAGTCGGTTACGAAGCATTCCCTTCCTCACCAGGAGAGCCACATTCAACGAAGTGAAGCGGGTGCATGCAGTCCTCTCCAATGTGGAAATCTATGGTGAGTCCCATTCAACTGTGCAAAATACATAGCAATCATTCTGCACGGACACCTTGCTGTGCACAGCCCAGGGAGCCCAGTATAAAGCACACGGCCCAACTAAGGGATCTCCTTAGTCGCAGTGATCTGTGGTGAATTTCTGTCGTGATTTTTCTTTTCCTTGCAGCAAGCAATTCAGATGTCACTGCAATCCACAGCCCACAGAAAAGAGTTTGGAAGGAGAAGCTGAAAGTGGCAAGAGAGGCATCAGGTTCTGACACAGAGGGTGAGAAGTCCTGTAAACTTTTCATTTACTTTGTTATTTGCTCATGACAAATGGAGTCAGTTCAGTCAACTGAATAGCTGATTTGTGGTGCAGAGTCTCGCCAGGAGCGTGGATTCAATTTCCATGAAGGTCTCAGCTCCTCGATCTCTCCCCTCGCCTTAAGCGTGATGACCCTCCGGTTCAAACCACCACTAGTCACCAAAGTGAGAGCATCATCCTGTGGAACTATGGCAACTATGATTGATGTCAGGACAAAGTCGACCTCGTTTAATCTAGTCTTGTTTTGCTCGATGGTGGGATGTGCAAGTCACTCATTTATTGCCCATCCCTATTTGCCTCTTGAGAAGGTGGTGGTGGTGAGCTGTCTTCTTGAACCACTGCAGTCCATGTGCTGCTCAGTGGTTAGCACTGCTGCCTCACAGCCCAGGGACCCGGGTTCGATTCCACTTGGATAACTGTGTGGAATTTGCATGTTCTCCCTGTGGCTGTATGAGTTTTCTCTGGGTGCTTCAGTTTCTTCCCAGAGTCCAAAGTTGTGCAGATTATGGGTATCGGGGGCAAACTCTCCGCTGGTTGAAGTCATACCTGACACATAGGAAGATGGTTATGATTGTTGGAGGTCAATCATCTCAGCTCCAGGGCATCTCTGCAGGAGTTCTGCAGTGGGGTGTCCTAGGCCCAACCATCTTCAGCTGCTTCATCAATGACCTTCCCTCCACCATAAGGTCAGACATGGGGATGTTTGTCGATGATTGCACAATGTTCAGCACCATTCGCGACTCCTCAGATACTGAAGCAGTCTGTGTTCAAATGCAACAAGATCTGGACAATATTCAGGCTTGGACTGACAAATGGCAAGTTACATTCGTGCCACACAAATGCCAGGCTATGACCATCACCAGTGAAATACAATCTAGTGTGACGGGTTGAAGTCTGTTTATTTTAATGGAAGAAGTGTCAGGAATAAGGGTGATGAACTTAGAGCATGGATCTGTACTTGGAACTACGATGTTGTGGCCATTAGGGAGACTTGGATATCACAGGGGCAGGAATGGTTGTTGTATGTTCCAGGGTTCAGGTGTTTCAAAAGAAATAGGGAGGGAGGTAAAAGAGGTGGGGGAATGACATTGCTAATCAGGGATGGTATCACAGCTGCAGAAAGGGAGGTCGTCGAGGAGGGTTTGTCTACTGAGTCAGTATGGGTGGAAGTCAGAAACAGGAAAGGAGCAGTCACTTTATTAGGAGTTTTCTATAGACCCCCCAATAGCAACAGAGACACTGAGGAACAGATTGGGAGGCAGATTTTGGAAATGTGCAGAAGTAATAGGGTTGTTGTTATGGGAGATTTCAACTTCCCTAATATCGACTGGAACCTCCTAAGTTCATATAGTTTGGCTGGAGCAGATTTTGTCAGGTGTGTCCAGGAAGGATTTCTGACTCAATACGTAGACAGGCCAGCTAGAGGGGAGGCCATATTGGATTTGGTGCTTGGCAACGAACCAGGCCAGGTGTCAGATCTCCCGGTGGGAGAGCATTTTGGTGATAGTGATCACAACTCCCTGACCTTTACTATCATCATGGAGAGGGATCGAAGCAGATGGTATGGGAAAGTATTTAATTGGGGGAGGGGAATTACAATGCTATTAGGCAGGAACTGCGGAGCATAAGTTGGGAACAGATGTTCTCCGTGAAATGCAGGACAGAAATATGGAGGTTGTTTAGGGAGCACTTGCTACGAGTACTGGATAGGTTTGTCCCACTGAGGCAAGGAAGGGATAGTAGGGTGAAGGAACCTCGGATGACAAGACACGTGGAACATCTAGCCAAGAGAAAGAAGGAAGTGTACTGAAGGTTGAGGAAGCAAGGATCGGACAAGGCTCTAGAGGTCTACAAGGTAGCCAGGAAAGAACTGAAGAATGGACTTGGGAGAGCTAGAAGAGGGCATGAAAAAGCCTTGGCGGGTAAGATCAAGGAAAACCCCAAGGCTTTCTATACTTATGAGAGGAACAAGAGGATGGCTAGAGTGAGGGTAGGGCCGATCAGGGATAGTGGAAGGAACTTATGTGCGGAATCAGAGGAGGTGGGGAGGTCCTTAATGAATAATTTGCTTCAGTATTCACCAGTGAGAGAGACCTTGATGTTTGTGAGGACAGCATGAAACAAGCAGATATGCTCAAACAGGTTGATGTTAGGAAGGAGGATGTGCTAGAAATTTTGAAAAACATGAGGATAGATAAGTCCCTTGGGCCACTTGAGATATACCTCAGGTTCCTGTGGGAAGTGACGGAAGAGATTGCTGCCCCTTTGGTGATGATCTTTGTGTCCTCACTGTCCACTGGAGTAATACCAGATGATTGGAGGGTGGCAAATGTCATTCCCTTGCTGAAGAAAGGGAATAGGGATAATCCTGGGAATTACAGACCAGTCAGTCTTACTTCTGTGGTGGGCAAATTATTGGAGAGGTTTCTGATAGTACTTATGATTATTTGAAACAGTTTGATTAGAAATAGTCAGCATGGCTTTGTGAGGGGCAGGTCATGCCTCACAAATCTTACTGAATTCTTTGAGGATGTGACAAAACACTTCGATGAAGGTAGAGCAGTGGATGTGGTGTATATGGATTTTAGCAAGGCATTTGATAAGGTTCCCTATGGTAGACTCATCCAGAAAGTAAGGAGGCATGGGATTCAGGGAAATGTGGCTGTCTGGATACAAAACTGGCTGTCCAATAGAAGACAGAGGGTGGCAGTAGATGGAAAGTATTCAGCCTGGAGCTCGGTGACCAGTGGTGTTCCGCAGGGATCTGTTCTGGGATCTCTGCTCTTTGTGATCTTTATAAATGACTTGGATGAGGAAGTGGAAGGGTGGGTTAGTAAGTTTGCCGATGACACAAAGGTTGGTGGAGTTGTGGACAGCGTGGAGGGCTGTTGTAGGTTGCAATGCAGGACATCGACAGGATGCAGAGCTGGGCAAAGAAGTGGCAGATGGAATTCAATCCAGAAAAGTGTGAAGTGATTCACTTTGGAAGGTCGAATTTGGATGCAGAATACAGGGTCAATGGCTGGATTCTTGGCAGTGTGGAGGAACAGAGGGCTCTTGGGGTCCACGTCCATAGATCCCTCAAAGTTGTGACCCAAATTGATAGGGTTGTAAAGAAGGTGTATAGTCTGTTGGCAGGGAAATTGAGTTTAAGAGCCGTGAGGTTATGCTGTAGTCCTATAAAACCGTTAGCCCACACTTGGAATATTGTGTTCATTTCTGGTCACCTCATTAAAGGAAGGATGTGGAAGCTGTCGTGAGGGTGCAGAGGAGATTTACCAGGATGCTGCCTGGACTGGAGGGCAGGTCTTGTGGGAAAGGTTGAGGGAGCTAGGGCTTTTCTCATTGGAGCGAAGAAGGATGAGAGGTGATTTGATAGAGGTTTACAAGATGATGAGAAGCAGAGGTAGAGTGGATAGCCAGAGATATTTTCCCAGGGCGGAAATGACTATTACGAGGGCGCATAATTTTAAGGTGATTGGAGGAAGGTATAGGGGAGATGTCAGAGGTAGGTTCTTCACACAGAGAGTGGTGGGTGCATGTGGAATGCGCTGCCAGCAGTGGTAGTGGAGTCAGATACTTTAGAGACTTTTAAGCGACTCTTGGATAGGCACATGGATGGTAGTAAAATATAGGGCATGCAGGTTAGTTTGATCTTAGAGTTGGATAATAGGTCGGCACAACATCGTGGGCCGAAGGGGCTGTACTGTTCTATGTTCTAACCACCATTCCTTGACATTCAGTGGTGTTACCATAACTAAATCCCCCACTATCAATGTCCTGGGTGTTATCATTGACCAGAAACTGAACTGGACTCACCACATTAACAGAGTGGCTACAAGAGCAGGCCAGAAGCTGGGAATCCTGCAGCAAGTAACTCACCTCCTGACCCCCCAAAGCCTGTCCACCATCTACAAGGCACAAGTCAGAAGTATGATGGAATACTCCCCACTTGCCTGGATGAGTGCAGCCCCAACAACACTCAAGAAGCTTCACACCATCGAGGACAAAGCAGCCGCTTGATTGGCACCACATCCACAAACATCCCACTCCCTCCCCCACCGACACTCAGTAGCAGCAATGTGTACTATCTACAAGATGCACTGCAGAAATTCACCAAAGATCCTCAGACAGCACCTTACAAACCGACGACCACTTCCATCTAGAAGGACAGGGACAGCAGATACATGGAAACACCAGCCCCTGCAAGTTCCCCTCCAAGCCACTCACCATCCTGACTTGGAAATATATCACCGTTCCTTCACTGTCACTGGGTCAAGATCCTGGAATTCCCTCCCTAAGGGCATTGTTGGTCAACCCACAGCAGGAGGACTGCAGCGGTTCAAGAAGGCAGCTCACCACCACCTTCTCAAGGGGCACGAAATATTGATCAGCCAGCGATGCCCACATCCCACAAATGACTAGGAAAAAAAGATTAGGTGGATTGACCATGCTAAATTTTCCGTAGTATCCAGGGATGTACAAGTTCAGTGGGTTAGCCATGGGAAATGCAGAGTTAGAGGGATAGGATGACTGAGTGCGATGCTGTTTGGAGGGTCGGTGCAGACTCAATGGGCCAAATGACCCCCATCTGCACTGTAGGGATTCTATGATTGTATGGTTGTACCACAATGCCGTTAGGGAGGGTGTCCCAGGGCTTTGATTCAGTGACACTGAAAGAACGGCAATATATTTCCAAGTCAGGACAGTGATTGGCTTGGAGGGAAACTGCATGATAGTGTTCCCATGTCCACATGTCCTTCTAAGTGGTAGCGACCACGGGTTTTGAAGCTGCTTTTTGGAGGAAGCTGTTAGTTGGTGTAGTGCATCTAATAGATGTTACACACTGCTGCAACTGGGCTTTAGGGATGAAGGCCGTGATTGTAGAATGTATCAAATGAGGCAGCAATCCAGCAGGCTGCTTTGTGCTGGCTACTGTCAAGCATGTTGTATTGTTGGAGCTGCACTTACTCAGGCTCGTGGGAGTTTTCCATCACACTCCTGACTTTTTCCTTGTAGACGGTGGACAGGGGAGACAGAGCTCCAGTATAGGTCAGTGGTATTAGCAAATAGAGGGCAGATACTGCTTTATCTTAGTGTGTTTGGGCAGGCAGCTTCTGCATGGAAAACGTGTGGATGAACATTGATCTAAACTTTCAAATATATAATTGCCTAAACATATTGGCACAGTCAAGAAACAAAACACTAGTAATTTTCCTTTTCTCGATTTAAGCATTGATTATTCGTGCAGTGTTGTTGACAAAAATGCTGATGCAGTGACAAAGTCTGCAGTTCTGGGAATTCCTTATGGAAAGGATAATTAAAACCACAGAGCAATGATGCTATTGATTAGGAATCTTACACAAAGTAGAAGGACCATATTGTCTTGCATTCTCAGTTCCTACTTTGGACAGAAAGATGACTCTCTTTCTTGGTGCAGGGGCTGGAGTTTCTTGGTCTCTGAACAAGTGTCACATCCACATGTTGTAAGCATCCCCTTTTATATACTTGTCATGCAGAATGTGATGGAGAGGTTTTCAGTCTCGCTGATGCACCAACTTCCTTGGAAATATTGGAAGAAACACTGGGAACGTTGGAGCTCAAGGAATTCGATATGTCCCCGAAAAAGAAAAAGAGGAGGAGGAAGAAAAGGAACAGAGTTAATGAGAAGACAGTACAGAGCCAAGGTAAAAAGGGAGCTTTATTCTGTATGTGACCTCATGCTGTACCTTTCCTGGGAGTGTTTGATGGGAACAGTGTAGATAATGCTTGAGCCCACTATAAAAGTTTTACCTGATCTTTATATCTGGAGGACAGGAGTACAAGGACGCTGAAGTTATGCTGCAGCAGTTATACAAAACCCTGGCTTGACCCCACTTGGAGTACTGTGGGCAGGTCTGGGCACCACACCTTCAGAAGGATAGATTGGCCTTAGAGAGAGTACAACGTAGGTTTACAGGAACAATACCTCGACTTCAGGAGTTAAATTCTGAGGAGAGATTAGACAAATTAGGCTTGTTTTCTCTAGAATTTGGAAAGTTAAGAGGTGATCTGATCAAAGTCTTCAAGATATTAACAGGGAAAGACAAGGTAGATAAAGATAAACTATTTCCAATTTTTGGAGATTCTAAAACTAGGGGCATAGTCTGAGAATTAGGGCTAGACTGTTTGGGGGAGATGTTAAGAAGCAGCTCTACACACACAGGGTGGCAGAGGTTTGGATCTCTCTTCCACAACAACAATTGATGCTGGATCATTTGTTAATTTTAAATCTGAAATAGAAAAATGTTTGTAAAGCAAAGGTTTTAAGGGATATGGGCAAAAGGACATGGAGTTAGGTGACCGATCAGCTGTGATCTTGTTTTGCATTCTGTTCTATTACCCTGGTGTACTTAGATGAAGTATGATTTGTCTGGGGACAGCACACAAAACAAAACTTTTCACTGTATCTTGGTATATGTGACAATAATAAATCAAATCAAGAATATCAGATTGATTCCTGAGATGATGGGACTGACATATGGGGAGCAACTGGATTATTTAAATTATATTCCTGAGCCTTAGAAGAATGAGGGGGCATCTCATAGAAACCTGTAAAATTCTAACAAGACTAGACAGGATAAATGAAGGAGGGATATTCCCAATGACGAGGGAATCCAGAACCAGCAGTCACAGTCTAAGGATACAGGGTAGGCTGTTTAGAAGTGAGTTGAGGAGAAATTTCTTCAGCCAGGGATTGGTGAGCCTATGAATTTCTCTGCTGCAGAAAGCATTTGTGGCCAAAACATTGAATGTTTTCAAGAAGAAATTAGATATAGATCTTGGGTCTGAAAGGTATGTGTGAAAGCAGGAATTCTGTCCTAAGGAGAGTGATCAGGCATGAACATATGGAATGGTGGAACAGACTTGAAGGGCTGAATGGCCTACTCCTCCTATTTTCAATGTTTTTGGGTGTTGTAAGTCTGTTTTTATCCTGATTGTGTGTCTTTCTTTTGAGTAGCTCCTGACATCCTTCTTGAAGAGGGAGATGATGAGATGACACAGAATGAAGTTAGAGATGCTGCTGATTCTAGGGCTGGTCCGTTCTCCACTGGAGAAAAGCAGACCAAGATGCAGCTGCAAAATGCTCGAGCGATTACTGCCGGGCTTTCTAAGCAAGGTACCATGGTTACAATCCTGTTCTGTACATTCAACTTTTAAAGCGAAATCTTAAGAACCTGATTTTAACTGAAAGAACTTTACATAACATAAGAACGTAAGAACTAGGAGCAGGAGTAGGCCATCCGGCCCCTCAAGCCTGCTCCGCCATTTAATAAGATCATGGCTGATCTTTTTGAGACTCAGCTCCACTTACCCGCCCACTTACCATAACCCTTAAGTCCTTTACTGTTCAAAAATTTATCTAGCCTTGTCTTAAACACATTCAGCGAGGTAGCTTCAACTGCTTCACTGGGCAGGGAATTCCACAGATTCACAACCCTTTGGGTGAAGAAGTTCCTCCTGACCTCAGTCCTACATCTGCTTCCCTTTATTTTGAGGCGATGCTCCCTAGTCCTAGTTTCACCTGCTAGCGGAAACAACCTCCCTGCCTCCACCTTATCTATTCCCTTCATAATCTGATATGTTTCTATAAGATCTCCCCTCATTCTTCTGAATTCCAATGAGTGTAATCCCAGTCGACTCAGTTTCTCCTCATAATCTAACCCTCTCAACTCTGAAATCAACCGAGTGAATCTCCTCTGCACTCCCTCCAGTGCTAGTATATCCCTTCTCAAGTAAGGAGACCAAAACTGCACACAGTACTCCAGGTGTGGCCTCACCAGGACCCTATACAGCTGCAGCACAGCCTCCCTGTTTTTAAACTCCATCCCTCTAGCAATGGCAGACAAAATTCCATTTGCCTTTTTAATTACCTGCTGCACCTGCAATCCTACTTTTAGCGATTCATGCACAAGGACACCCAAGTCCCTCTGCACAGCAGCGTGCTGCAATTTTTTACCATTTAAAACATAGTCCATTTTGCTGTTATTCCTACCAAAATGGATGACCTCACACTTATCAACATTGTACTCCATCTGCCAGACCTTTGCTCACTCACTTAGACTATCTATATCCCTCTGCAGACTTTCAGTGTCTTCTGCACACTTTGCTCTACCACTCATCCTCGTGTCATCTGCAGATTTTGACACACCACACTTAGTCCCCAACTCCAAATCATTTATGTAAATTGTAAACAATTGCGGTCCCAACACTGATCCCTGATGCATACCACTAGCTACTGACCGTCAACCAGAAAAACACCCATTTACCCCTACTCTTTGCTTTCTACTGGTCAACCAATCCTCTATCCATGCCAATACATTACCTGTAATACCATGGCACTTTATCTTAGGTAGCAGCCTTTGGTGTGGCACCTTGTCAAATGCTTTCTGGAAATCCAGATACACCACATCCACAGGTTCCCCATTGTCCACCATGCAAGTAATGTCCTCAAAGAATTGCACCAAATTAGTTAAACATGACCTACCCTTCATGAACCCATGCTGGGTGTTCCTAATGGGACAATTTATATCCAGATGTCTTGCTATTTCTTCCCTAATGATAGATTCAAGCATTTTCCCCACTACCGAAGTTAAGCTAACTGGCCTATCGTTACCTACTTTTTGTCTACTTCCTTTTTTAAACAGTGGCGTCACATTGTCTGTTTTCCAATTTGCAGGAACCACCCCAGAGTCCAGTGAATTTTGGTAAATAATTACTAGTGCATTTGCTATTTCCCCCATCACCTCTTTTAGTACCCTGGGATGCATTTCATCAGGGCCAGGAGACTTGTCTACCTTTAGCCCCATTAGCTTGCCCAGCACTGCCTCCTTTGTGATAATGATAGTTTCTAGGTCCTCGCCTGCTATAACCTTCTTGCCATTAGTTTTCGGCGTGTTATTTCTGTCTTCCACTGTGAAGACCGACACAAAATAACTATTTAATGCCTCGGCTATTTCCTCATTCCCAGTTATTAAGGACCAATGTTTACCTTCGCCACTCTTTTATGATTTACATATTTATAGAAACTTTTGCTGCCTGTTTTTATATTCTGAGCTAGTTTACTCTCATAATCTATCTTACATTTCTTTATAACTTTTTTTGTGGCTTTCTGTTGGCCTTTAAAGATTTCCCAGTCTACCAGTTTCCCACTACTCTTTGCACTTTGCCACAAGATTACACCTCTTTAACAAATAACAAACATTTGTATGTGGGACTAATTAAACAATGCTAATACAATTTGTTTAACATTATAACTTAATCCCAAATATGTCAAGTTCTTAAGTTAACTGCTTAGTTCCATTAAGAAGTTTCATATATTGCGATATCTTAGTTAGTTACTCAAATAGGGATCACCCAGAAGTATGTCACAGTCCTGTGGAAATGATTTTTTATTCTTCTCAGTTTTGCCTTTTCTAGGAGGTAAAATCTTACTTCACCATTTTTTAACTGAGGAGACCTCTATCACTTGTTCTGGTTACTTTACAATACCTGCTCGCTAATCTGCTCGTTTCTGCTTGTTTCAAAGGCAACATTCCCATTTCTTTTCCCTCACAACATTCAAACTGAGATTAAGATCCACCCATATTCTATACTGTGAATGATGATTTAATTCAAAAGATGTTATCAGATCCAAAGTCTAGTTCTACATAAAATTCAGAAACTGCATTAACCTTGAAGGTGATGACAGCTGAGATGTTTATCCTCACCAGTCATATTTCACTCCGTTGAATGATTTAACTTCCCGAGTTAGGAACTATTGCAGGTTGCATTTGGAAAGGGTGATTTTGTTTTTGCAAAACAAAAAATCAGTTGTCATTTTGTTCATGATTATTGGAATGAATTTTACCATTTTTGTCTTGCATCTTCATTTATTTGATGAAACATTTTGTACAGTACATACCTAGCTAACTACCATTTACTTCACTATCTCTTTGTAAGCTTTAAAGCATTCATGGTCTAAATTATAATTATCTATCCCAGCAAACACCCAGATGAATTGAAACCAGAGAATCTTCCTCAACTCTACCTATCTTCATGACAATATGGCCTGCTTTGGACTGTCCTCAAACTGACCTTCAGATTAACAGTCCTCATTTAGCATTTCATTTTTGATAAAGTAAGTTTGGGTGTTTACTGAATGCATTCAAACTAACGTGAGTCAGCTCTCAAAACAAAAATATTTGTTGGACTGCAGCCATTGTACTTGTATTGCTGTTGGCCACCAGCTGTTTTCTGATCATACGTTTCCAGTATTTAACCTCCTAAATTGAAAACCAATCTTTAAATGTAATACACTCCAAGCTTACCTTAATTGCTTTTCTCTAATTTTCTACAGTTAAAGATTAATTCCTGAAAGTTCCTAGAAGTTATACACTTAAATGTACGACCATGAACTAAATATTTCCAATTCACCTAGCCTGCACATCTTTGGACTCTGGGAGGAAACCGGGGCACCCGGAGGAAACCCACGCAGACACGGGGAGAATGTGCAAACTCCACACAGACAGTCCGAGGGTGGAGTTGAACCCGGGTCCCTGGCACTGTGAGGCAGCAGTGCTAACCACTGAGCCATTGTGCCATCTGATTAGGTCCTGCCTGTGCCACTCAGCTTCAGACCTCTTTATTGTTGATCCAACCATGGACAAAGGGAATCAGAGGGAACACTTGTCACTGGTTGGAATCATACCTGGCACATTGTTTAAACTTACTCGTGGAACGTGGGTGTTGCTGACTGGGCCAGCTTCATTGACCATCTCAGGCTGCTCCTTGCTACTGAGCATTGTTGGTGAAGGGAGTGAACATTTGTCAATCAAGGTACTTCTTAATTTGAAGCTGGTGCAGTTTAGCAAGCAGCGTGTGTTTGTGTGTTTCCTTTATTCTCGCTGTGTTTTTTTAATTTCAGTTTTATAATCAAGTGTGTAACCGAGATGGCCCCAGAGAATCGGGACTTCATACACTTTTCACTGTACTCCTGTATTCCTATACTTGAGTACATGTGACAATAAAATATAATTCTAATTCAGAGGTTTCGCTGAGCTAAAGTTCACAGCGGGTAATGACTTGAAGAGTGACCCAATGTGCACTAGAATAACAATAAAGCCCTTGTGTTTTCCAGAGATTGAATATTATCAATTGAAGAACGATTTGTATACAGCGTGTAAGACTGGAAACATAGAGCACCTGCAGGAGTTACTCAGCAACGTGTTTCTGCTTCACAACACTGAACATGGCCACTCTGACCAGACCAAGTCTTCCAGTGAGACTACTGAGAGTACAATAGGAACTGATGAGCTGCGACAATCACAGAGGCCCAGGCAAACAGGTCACAGTGAAGATAGTGAGGTGGGATTAGAGTATCGCAAGGCAAACAGGCTTAACCCTGGATCTCCCGTAAAGCAGGGTTTGTGTCCTGCTGTGGGGGCGATGTCGATATTATGCGAGGTGCTGGATGAATCAGGATTCACCCTTCTACATGTGGCAGCAGCGTCGGGTCAGGCAGCTATTATCCGTCTGCTGATGGATGCAGGCTGTGATCCTGCCATAAGGTGAGGCTGTGCCCGCTGTTACAAACTCAGTGTCTCATAATCACTGTCAGGTCTGTTATTCTGGGTACCCCACTTCATGGAAGATTTCATGATTTTGTAGAGACAGCACTGTCATATAGCAATAGAGTTGAAAAGAATATCGACAGGCTGGTGGAATGACTTGACATTTGGCAGGTGGAATTAAATATGAAGAAATGTGAAGTAATTCATTTTAGTAGAAAGCATGAGGAGACATAAAATAAAAACAAAGGATAGCATTCTACAGGGTGCGCAGGAACATAGACCTGGGATTAGAAATGCAGAAATCATTCAAGATTGCAGGGCAGATGGCAACTCTTCATAAAACACACAGCAACCTGGACTTTATAGACATAGGCATTAAAGGCCCAGTGCTGGCAGCATGCTGACCTGCAGGGATGATATCTTTTCAGTTGAGATGGTAAATTGAGCTCCCATTCTCTGTTTTGAAAACAGAAATACCAAATATTGCTCAAAGGAAACTAAAATTTGAAGCTTTTTTGCCTTGGACGCATCCAAACTTGCAAGAAACAGATTTGTAAAAAAAAAAAATACTGTTTTATATATAACGTGAAGAGAGTGCTGATTGGTAGGGCCATAATCTGGATGTAGATGTGGCAAGAGCAATTAATGTTCAATCTTAATTCTCAGATCAGGCAACTAGACACTGATTGCTCAGAGTGTTGCCATGGGAATGCAGCAGTGTTCAGCTTCTCCATGATACCTTCATTTGAAAATGTTGCAATGTATGTACAGAATTGTTTTCAACTACATAAAACAGCATCCTGAGTATTAATGTGTGTAGCTTCTTGCGCACATGCATACATCGCACTGCAGACCCAGCTGATGATGTTGGATTGATTTATGGTGTAACTCTAAGCACAGGCAGTGTTCAAAAACAATGTTTCTTTATGCTGTGTTCCATCTGTGCCTGGCTTTGCCCAACATGAATTAGCCAAATGGATTCGTGAGCTGTTGCCACCAGTTCTAACTGAGATGGCCACGTTAAGGTTGAGGAGCACAGATAGAGTGGATAAAAGCAGTTTAAGGGTCAGTAATAAAGGGACATAATTTTAAGGTGAAATGCAGAATGATTAGAGAAGATTTGAAGAAAGATTTTTTTTACGCAGAGTGGTAGGATCTGGTTTGCACTGCCTGGGAGGGTAGTTGAGGCAGGAAACCTCACAACCTTTAAAAAGTACCTGGATGAGCACTTGAAGTGTCATAATGTTCAAGGCTATAGGCCAAGTGCGGAAAAGTGGGACTAGTATAGAAGTAGAGTAGTTTCTGTCAGTGCGGATTCAGTAGGCCAAAGGGCCTCTTTACCGTACGATTCTGTGTATTAGTTGGGAAGTTAGGAAATGAATTCACCAGTCAATAAACACATTGGATTTCCTCCAGTCCTACACACAAGATTAATCTTATTGGCAGCCCTAGCCATCCACTCACCGGGAAAGCTTAATGCTGAGATTGAACCACATCAAAACTATCCAACATGATGATAACACCCTGATCAAATCATCACTGATACATCGTAAAAACTTGTGAAATGCTCTATCTCCACTATTTTTGGTCCCGAGCAGTGCCCAGTCAGCCCTAGGTTACCCAGGAAGGGGAAGGTATCTCAAAATTGGGCACAAGTGAAGCTGGCTATTTCATGCTGCGGCTGTTGGTAAATTCACAAGTGATTTTATCCAGAACATGATGCTGCCATCAAACCAAAAAGTCATCGTGTGTATGATCTAAGTGTGTAACATGTATGAGTTTCAGTGTCAATGTGACACTGGGTATGTTGGTTGTGTGTTCCAATGACTGACTATGAAAAACCATGTCCCATTGACCATTCACAGCAGACACTCCTGGTCAACTAGCCCCTGCTTGTAAGTCTGAAAAATATACCCACCGTTAGATTTGAACCTGCTAACGAGAATCACTTACTAAATAATCCAGATAATGCTAAATGTTACACAGAAAACAAATTTAAGATCATCAGCCAGGCCCGCAACGTATTTGCATGTGCTTGAAGCTGCATTTGTAAATACTCAGGGCACTGTTTTGTTAGGCAAAGGAGATTTAAACATACACTGCTCATTTTTTTTTAAAGAAGGGGGTCATTTAGGCACTGTAGGCCTGACTGTGTAAGGATGGTAGTTTCCTTCCCTAGAGGGAATCCAATAATCAACAATTGGTTCATGATCATCATTAGTCTCTTAATTCCAGATTTTTATTGAATATAGTGATAATACCACTAGGCCATCGCCTCCCCCAAGTTTGTAGAATTTCACCTGTGCTAGAATGTCAGCTCTTGTTAGGGATGAGACCAGTTTGCAGAAATTCTGAACTACTGATCCAGGAGTTAAAGTACAGGTTTGTGTCATGTTTCTATAATCCCCTGTGTCCTGCTTACTTAAGTCCCTGAATGAGTGTGCTTGTTTTCCAGTGTCCCCATGTCTCTGTTTCCCTGTACGTCTGTGAGTATACCATGTTTCCGTGCACTCACTTGTAAGTGTATCTTTTCCAGGGATAAATGTGCTCGTCCCGCTTATGCTGTCTCCGCAAACAAGGAGACAAGAAATGAGTTTCGTCGTTACGTAGCAGACCACCCAGGGAGATATGACTACAAAAATGCACAGGTAAAGGAGCAACATATACATTGTCTACAATCATTGATCCCCACCTTGTCTAACACCCCAAACTCACTGGCAGGTCACAAAAGGCAGCCAGTACAGTATAGACAGAGTAGCAAAGTGGATGGAGGCAGGCAGAGGATGAACTGTATGTGGAGATGATGGAAGGACAGGCAAGAATGGTGCTGGACCTTGTGGGGAAAGAGGAGGGTGATTGAACATAGGAACAGGAGTAGGCCCTTTGAGCCTGTTCCACCGTTTAATGAGATCATGGCTGATCTGTGACTTAACTCCATATACCTACCTTTGGCCCATATCCCTTAATACCTTTGTTAAACAAAATTTATCAGTCTGAGATTTCAGTTAACAACCGACCCTGTATCCACTGCCATTTGTGGAAGAGAGTTCCAAACATTTTATCATCCTTTGTGTGTAGAAGTGCTTTGTAACATCTGTCCTGAACGGTCTGGCCCTAATTCCCAGGCTTATACCCATTAATTCTAGAATTCCCAACCAGTGGAAATAGTTGATCTTATCTATCTTGTCTTTTCATGTTAATATCTTGAAGAATTTGATCAGGTTAGTAAGGAAATCAAGGATTAGCAGGACAGCCAGTAGAATGGAGTTGAAAAACATTCCTTTTTAATTCATTCACGGATGAGGGCATCGCTGGCTAGGCAGCATTTATTGCCCAACCCTAATTGTCCAGAGGGCAGTTAAGAGTCAACCACATTGCTGTGGGTCTGGAGTCACATTTAGGCCAGACCAGGTAAGGATGGCAGTTTCCTTCCCTGAAGGACATTAGTGAATGAAATGGGCTTTTCTGACAATCAAAATGTCATCATTAGACTCTTAATTTCAGATTTTCATTGAATTAAAATTCCACCATCTGCCGTGACGGGATTTGATCCTAGGTCCATACATCATTACCTGGGTCTCTGGATTAACAGTCCAGTGATAATACCCGCTAGACCATCATCTTTCCTAACAGACACAATGGAATGGTGGAGCAGACTCAATGGGCTGAATGGCCTGATTCTGCTCCTACATCTTGTGATCTTATAGGTCACCGCATAACCTTATAAATTCTAGAGAGAACAGACATAATTTGTGTAATCTCTCCTCATAACCTAACTGCTGAAGTGTAGGTATCATTCTTGTAAACCTGTGTTAGGCTAAGGCCAGTGTATCCTTCCCAAGGTGTGGTGCTGACAAAATTCCAGTGGGGTCGAACCAGGATCTTATATAACTGTAGAAAAACTGCATCCTTATACTCCAATCCTCCAGACATAAAGGTCAGCATTCTGTTATCTTGATTATTTTCTGCATCTGTTTGTGTCATTTTAGAGATCTATGCACCTGAAGTCTGTTTGGGCAACCACTGTATTTAACTTCATGCCATCTGGAAAGTACCCTGAAATATCCTTTTTAGCTCCAAAATGGATAACCTCACACTTGCTTATTTTGAACTTCATTTGTCACAGTAGTGCCTATTCATCCAGTCTATCAATATCCCTTTGTAATTTTATGCTATTATCTATACTGTTAGCAAAGCTGCCTGATTTTGTGTCATCAGCAAATTTGGATATATATCTTTCTATGCCATTATCCAGATTGTTAACAAATAATGTCCTTTAGGGAAGGAAACTGCCATCCTTACCTGGTTTGGCCTACATGTGACTCCAGACCCACAGCAATGTGGTTGGCTCTTAACTCCCCTCTGGGCAATTAGGGATGGGCAATAAATGCTGCCCTAGTCAGCGACGCCCTAATCCCATGAATGAATAAAGAAAAAGAAAAGTGAATAATTGAGGCTCTAACACCCATCCTTGTGGGACACCACTAGTCACATCCTGCCAATTTGAGTTCCCATACATTAGTCTCTCCTCTCTGTCACCTGTCAATCAGTCACTTTCCCATCCAGCTCAGTGATTTGACCTCTATTCTGTGGGCTTCTACCTGAGTTAACAGTTTCTTATAAGACTTTATCAAATTCCTTTTGGAAGGCCATACAAACAACATCCATTGACATTCCCTTGGCCACTACCTTAGCCACCTCTTCAAAAAGTTCAATGAGGTTTGTCAGGCATGACCTACGTGCCATGAGTCCATGAGATAGTAGGAACTG